GTAAAAAAAGTCCAGGGCTACACGACATCGCTCGTGAATAAACCAAATACCTACTGAGTGCAACGAGGCCACTTTCCCTTCCTCTGGGCATCAGGATTCTCCTCCATCGCTGCCTTCGCTTGGCGCACACGCTCAAGCTTCTTCTCCCTCTCCGCCCTGTACACAGCAACACGTCTCCTTTCCTCCTCTTCCTTATGCTCCTTTTCTATAGCCTCATGTCTGCGTCTCTGCTCAAACCTCTCCTTAACCTCGGCATCCCACTCTTTTAGGCCTTCTAGATGCTGCTTGTCCGACTTCTTGATCTCAGTGTCAATCCACTGCTCAAAGTCACACAGTGGTGGAACGGTCTGCAAGAAAAACAAATTGTTACAAAACAAATAAATAAGCAATACTTAATATCACAAGAAAATTAATTAACACACAATAAAAATTCCTCACAAACGATGCACGGCGCTGTTGCTTTGTAGGTTCCCATGTATAATTAGGACATATCCAGTACCTCTGTCTATATGTTTCCTCATCTTTAGAGATGTCTATCTTGCAAGGATCACCACAAAAGCACATTGGTCGAGGAACACCTTCAGGGATAGGCTTTAGGTCGTAGGGATTTGCCATCTGGCGACCATAGCTACAATTAAAAGAATTTAGTCATATTAACAGAGAACCAAACCTAAACCTAGGGTTTTCTATTTGTTGCACAAATAATGAATAAACATTGGGATTACCTTGGAATACGAGCTTTACCACGCCTTGACATCCTAACATTACGTAGAAAAAAAATCAATCCAAAGTACCTTGCAATGAATGTAAAGCTACTAACACTAAATCACCATACCTCCCAAATAAGCTTTTCATTACAAACCCTAAGCAAATTTGAATCCCAACAAACACAAAATTTAACTCAATGATTATAAACCAGAACATATACAACAACAACAACCATATATTTAGGTCATTCAATCATTTGAACCACCATACATTACACGAATGACATGAACATGAACCAAACATATAATGCCAAGTTCAAAAACAACCGAATCTAAATGGATGAAATGAAAGAGGGAAAAGAGGAGTACCTTGGCAAAACGCCTTGGTCATAAAAAATTGAAATGTAATGACCAACAAATAAATAAAATACATACTAACCCTAATGACCAACAAATAACTAGCCCTAATGACATCTACAATAAACAAAGAACCCTAATGACCAAAATAACTAGAAACCAAACTAACCTAACATGTTCAGCACATAAAACAGTTAAACAACAATGCACTCAATCATCCTAAGCCATACATTTTGCAAATGCAAACACAAATATACCAAAACACTATACACCCATGATTCCACATGATTAGGGACAATGCAAGCACATCTACGCGGATAGATTGGAGGAGGGAGGACCATTACCTCAAGAAAGCTTCGAGTCAAGATCCCACACCTAGAGTCGCATTTGGGGGTTAGAGTTTCGTGAGGGCCGTGGGGATTTGGGGCGGCGGTCTTCGTAATGGAGGAGGAAGAAGAAGGGGCCTCGCCGCGGCCTCAAGGGACCGCACCTCGGCGTTGAGTCGGGCCGCCGCCGAGGTATGTGGCTCAACGTTAAGTGACCCCTGCCGAAGCCATCTTTGGGCCACCGTGCGTTGTTGGGCCGCCTGGGCCGCGCGCCGGATGGTGACAATAGCTCGGCGCGCAGTCCAGCCGCGCCGAGGTTGGGCCCTTGGCGTTGGCTGACACAACGCCGACGTCTCGGACCCACGCGCCACCGTGTCGCCGATGACCCCGGTCGTCCGTGACGTGGCAATACCTCAGCGTCGTGTCAGTCGACGCCGACCCCCATATCTCGGCGTCATGTTCTAAGACGCCTAAAAATGGTCTATTTTCAGAAAACGTTTTGACGTAGGTATTTTTGTAAAAATTGTTTTCAAAAGAGACCAAAATACAAAAATTTCACACATTTGAGTGAGGGCATGTTTGATACAACCCTGGCCAAAATAATCTGGGTTGGACTTGGTCCCTGTTTGGAGGTTGCCTCGCCTTTGTTTGGTGAAACCCTGGCTTGCCTAGAGAAGCTACTTGCATCTAGTTGTCGTGCACCTGGCATAAAAAATCTGGCACCTGAGCATCTCTACGGTGGCTATAATCACGGAGCAAAACAATCTTACCCTTTTCCCTCATTTTCTCCTTCCTCTTTCCCACAGGCCACAACTCCGTGGGGGGCAGAGGAACTGGAAACTCAGTGAGTATAGCCAAGCAACTCCGTGGGGAGGTTCAAACGCTCGATTTCCTACGCCTAGTGCTCAGCAATTGGAGGCAGGCAGCTCCCCTAGGCAAGAATAGCCAAGGTTCCAACCCAGTGCCTGTTTGTTCCCAAAATTTTACAAAATTTTTCAAGATTCTTCATCATATCGAATCTTTGGACGCATGTATGAAGCATTAAATATAAATAAAAAATAAAACTAATTACACAGTTTAGACGAAATTCACGAGACGAATCTTTTAAGACTAATTAGACTATGATTGAACACTAATGACTAAATAACAATGAAAGTGCTACAGTATCCTTTTCCAAAAAATATTCGCCAACTAGGCCCAAGCAAAGTGCAAACAACCTCCAAGCAGTGCTAACCTAGGGAATGTTGGCCAGGGTTGCATCCAAACAGCCCCTAAAGGTTTGGATTGCTGTTTGGCCAAACAATAAGGTTATCTAGGTAAGCAACCAACGCAGCTACAAATGCAAGCGCCATAGAACTAAAAGTTGCACAAGTTGATCTATTGATGTGACCGAGAGTATACCCCCTAGTGCAAGCAAGGACATGCTAGTTTGCATAATAAGTGGCTGTGGGGTGGAAACCAAACATCAGGGCGCGGGTCTACAGTAATCCATCGGGATCCGCCGACCCCGATAACCTCCCAAGAATTCCTAGTGACCTCCGTTTTCTCAATAGCTTGGACCCCAGTAAAATTACAGGCTGACCCCAGAAACTACAACCCAGCCTACAGGAGAATATGTTCAAGAAGATGCAAAGCCCACTGCATCGATGCTCATGCACTTCAACTACGCAAGCCGCCAAGCCCAGAAACACAAAAGTCATCTGCTTGCCGATCCATTGCCCTCCGGCTCTCCATGTAGACTGACGAACGACACGACGCCCTTCATCTTCCGATCCAACTTCTGGATTCACCATCACGGCGTTCCCCTCCTGCTTGGCCGCTCGGCACTCGGCATTCCGCTCCTGCTTGGCCGCTCAGCAATCGGCACTCATCGCTCGCTCCTCACTGCCTCACTAGCATCAGGCCTCTTCACTCCGGGCACTCTTGAAAGGAAAAATTCCTCCGACTAGTGCTAATCACGTTGCTTCGTGGAATAAGAATTTCTTGGTGCAATCTCAAATGATGATGTCATAGTTCACTTTTAGAATATGGATAGACTGAAATTATAAGAGGTTACCACTATTGTAAATAGTTTACTTTGTCTTTATTATGACATTGATAATGTTATCCCACCATATGAATGCTTGTCTTTTGCAATATGCCGTCATTATTAATATTTATGTCCGTTATGGATAGACTATAGTGTTAGATTACTATATGTTTTGGTCAGTAGCAGAGGTAGAGCTTCTTATGAGCCAAGGCAATGTAATGGCTAAATAAGAAATTAAGTCTAACATCAAAAGTATATACACTAAAAAATAAGTTTACATAGCAGGATTATACGTGACTAGCCCAGGCAGTGGCCCAGGGTCTGCCTATGGTTTCGGTCATACGTGTTTGTGCCGACTACTGACCCCGGCGACAATTTATTCTAAATTCGCCATTGCCAAACATGTAGGTTTTGTACTACAATAGTTTAGATACACCCTAAGGCTTACACCCTTTGTGCTTCATAATGCCTTCCATCAGAATAACCGTGGTTTTGCATCATTCTCTGTTTACTATTCATAGTCTAAAGGTTATTGTGAACTTTGGCTATGTATATTCACACGGATTTCTATCTATTATCTAAAAACACCATTGTTTTTGTGATTACTTAGGCTCTATTTTGATCTACTAAAACTAACGTCACTAACTAGCAACTATTATTAGCATTCTAGTTGCTAAAAGGTACTGATGATTAGCAAATCTATTACTTCCTCCATCCTAAATTATAAGACAGTTTGGTATTTCTAGATTCGTAACTTTTACTATGTATCTAAACATAATATATATTTAGACGTATAGCAAAAACTATGAATCTAGAAAAGTCAAAACACCTTATAATAAGTAATTATTAACTATTAGCAATATGGATCCGAAGTGTCCTCTATTATTTCCTCTATTACGGAACAATGCAATGCAGGTGTAGCACTGGGTGTTGAGTGCTGGGTCGGGCTCTGGATGACCTTGCTGATGCCCTGAACCGAGGGATTAACATGGCCTGACAACTTTGCTGATTGGTTGGTGATGAAAGTTTGGTTGCTAAAATTTGAACAAACTAAAATTTTGGCTTTCATTTAGTTTGCTGTCATAATTTGCTAACCTCTCATATTTAGCTTGACAACTCTATGGTAAATATTTTTGTCTAACTTTTGGTTAACTTTTACCTGAAAAATCTTTGGCATGACAATTTTAGTAGCCCACAAAGCAGGCTCTGTGTTTCAAGAACAAGAATTTCCTTCCCAGTACCAGCTCCGTTCCCTTGCAGCTAAGCTTATGTTCCTGCGCTCCTCACTTCCTCCCTGCAGGCTGCAGCTGCAGGATGATCATGATGTTTTTCTTTCTATATTACAGTTATAATCTCATGGTCATTGCAAACGGTTCATTCATAAATCATGACACTTGATAGATTTCGGAGAAATTCGATTCGCTTATTACTTGACTTCGCACATCTACTGAAAGAACGAGCTCACTCAAGACAGTAAAGTAAATCAATTAATCAAGCACATATAATACGCTCCCTCAATTGAATCTTTGGTTTTGTGGTGTTGAAGAAGGCAAGCAGCTGCACCTCGGGTCGGAATGCCAATCAAACGGTGGCGCCGACGGCATGTGCAAAGCACGAAGCAAATGCATCCATGGCGTCCGGCGGCAACACCACCCCGAGCTCGATGCCGCCATCTCCCTCCGGGCTCTCCGCCAGCGCTACCGTCCCGGGCGTCTTCTCCACCGACACCATCTCCACCCTCGCCGGCCGGCCCCACCCGAAGTCCGTGGTTTCGTACACGCCATGCCTGGGGGACCCGCCCACGGACATGGGCCGCTCCGGAAGCACCGACAGCACCCTGCCCAGCCACCCCTCCGCGCCTTCCAGCACGCCCTGCTCCATCTCCCGGATCGCGCTCCCGATCGCCGCCGCCGCCGCCGCAGCCACGCCGTCCGCTGTTTCGCCAGAGAGAAGGTCCGCCGTGGCGGCTTCCACGAAGCAGGGGCGCAGGCAGTTGCCGAAGTATTCGGCTGGCAGTGGTGGCGTCAGCCTGGACCGGCACTCGGCGGAGAAGAGCATGTGGCTGTGCTGGGCGCCCGCGACGCCAGCGGAACCGGACTTGAGGAGGCACACCCACGCCAAGGCCGACGCCGCCACGAAAGACGACGCCTTTGCGTCTGCCTTTGCCGCCGCGCCCTCCTTGATCCGGTCGATCTGCTCGCGCGGCAGCAAGAACGACGCCATCACCATCGGCGTGTTCTCCTCCTGCTGCGGCGGCGGAGGTGTCGGGGGAGGGGGAGGGGCGAGGCGCGCCATCCCGGCGAGCGTCTTCCCCCGCAGGTCGTTGGGGTCGGCGACGACGGACCGGTCCAGCACCGGCGGCGGCGGCAGCAGGGTGTCCTCGGATCCTTCGTCGTTCTCGAGGCCTAGGCGGCAGGCCGCGGCCCAGGTGCGGACGAAGTGCATGGTGGAGGCATCGTCGCAAGCTGCGTGGTGGACGGAGACGCCGAGGCAGAGGCCGCGGCCAGGGAAGACGGTGACCTGCACGGCGGCGAGCGCGAACGCTCCGTCGTCCCCCGGCGGCGGCAGCTGCGGCACGAGCGGGCGGATCAGGGCTAGGTCCCTGGGCGACCTGGCGACGAGGCGGTCGAAATCGACGGAGCTGTCCGACTCGGCGACGACCATGGTGAGGGCATCGGCGCCACGGGTGTACGAGCAGAGGAAGGGCGCGTGGGGCCTGATTCTGCCGGCGAGCGGGTAGAAGCGCCGGAGCGCGAGGGAGAGCGAGGAGCGGAGGAGCGGGAGCGTGGAGGCCGGCTCCGGGTGGCGGAAGAAGAAGAGGCGCTCGACGGGGCCGGTGAAGAGCCAGGCAACGTCGAAGAAGGTGAGAGGGAGCGCAGGTTCTTCTTGCTCAGAACCAGATGGCTGCGGCTCGACGCGGATGCGTTCGAGCACGCGCACTCGCGGCTGGGGAGACGGAGGCGCCATCAGATCTGATCCGGTGCTCTGCTCTCTATCCTCTGCTGTCCGGTCTGCTCTGCTCCGGAGAGAAGAGTGAACAGAGAAGGCGAGTCAATTGTAGCAGGAGAATCACAGGCAGAGGAGACAGGAGAGGAATGCCCCAGCTGTAGCTGTTGTTGGCCTGCCCACTTGCTTGTTGATTTGGTTGGGCCTTTGGCTAGCCAGGCATGTACCTAACCCACTAATAACGTGGAGGCTGACTACTGTTGTCAAAAAAAAAAAAAAAAACGTGGAGGCTGACTATCAGTGTTTTGCATAGTACAAGCAATGGGTCACGCTAATCTTATTTATTCACTCCATTGTTCAGTTCAAGTGTACAAATAATTGTTTTGTTTGGAAAGAAAGGCACAATCACAGCACTATGTAATTTGATCCCCAACTTTCAAACAGCAAAATTTGCAGAGTAGATCCTGACTTCATCACTATGGCTATAATAATGAACAAAAAAAAAAACTCATGAGAGTCGATGACCCTTGAAAAGTGGTAATTTGCTGAAGACACCTCACATTATATTTACCTTATTAATAATCATTTGCAATATTTAGGAGATAGAAACATGTATAAAGGTTGAAAATGATTTGAATCATACTTGTAAGATGTTTTTTTCTTTACTTAAGGTTAGAGTCTGTCTATTGTAAACTCAAGTGTTTTAGAGCATCCTAACACCCGAGTGTCAGAAACCTCTAAAACACTCGATTCCAACATCCAATGGAAATCGAGTGTTTCAAGGCCAAGGGTCACTAGATTATGATAACCACACGATCAACATTTAACGAATCTAAAAAATAATAATAAAAATACAAATAAAACCAAAAAATGGAAAAAATAAAAATTAAATATACAGATTAATTCTATGAAAGGAAAATGGAAACAAATTGAAAAGGAAAATAAAATAAAACATACAAATTTAAAAAAAAACTCTGCAGACTTTTGCTCAATGTTAAGGACACGGTAAAAACTCATTTCTTCACCTCCCACTTTGAAAGATCGACCAGTAATCAACTGAGCCTCTTCAGCGTTGAGAACCAACACATAAACAGTACCATTCAGTCCATCCAAAGCATACTTATACTTCGGCAGAAAAGATGCACCACGGTTCTGCCTAACAACATGAGCTACTAGCTTCACCTTGTCTTCATTTTTGAGACCCTTTGCAGCAAGAAGTATGGTTTGAGCACCAGGAACTAAATCCAGATGCTCAACGACAAACAATGAAACAATTTCATTGTTCACAATTGCAGCAGCACGATTTGGCTAAAAAAGAAAAAACAACAATTAAGATATGAAACAAATACATACAAAACTACATATCATCTAGATGCAGCAGCATTATTATACTTTAATATGGAAGCAAAACAAATTTAAAAAAACAACAAAAGATAGTACATGTATGATAAAATTACAAGAAACCAATACACATCTTACACCATAAACTATGATGTAATAACTATAGTACAACAATGCTAAAAATAAATAATCAGTCTTATGATGAATAGAATCACAAAGAAAGAAGACAAATGGATCATATACATATTACCTGCTGAGCAACCAAAAAATATGAAACTACAGAAACCTAAACACTAAAAAAACAAGAACAAGCACCAAAACCAACAAATTGTTGTAGATAACACACTGTAAGAAACCTAAAAGCATATAGGATATTATAAGTGAAAAATTCCAAAACTAATACAAAAAGTATAAGAAACATACCTTAATGCGAATATCCATATCAAGGAAATCTCTATTTGAATTCTTCCTTCAACAATACTCTTCACTTCAAAAAAGGAAACAATCTCCTCACCAACATTATAAGTGAAACGACGATGGTCAGCAGCTAGATGATCAAGATGACCAAGGCAATAAACTGTCTCATCAGCCTCATCATAGCAAAACTTGAAGTTCTTGACAAAACCTTTGCTGCCAATCTGTTTAGCAGCATGAGCAACAAAGATCACTTTATCTTCACATGACCATTTTTTCAAATTCCTAGCAGCCATCAAATGAACCTGCTGCCCAACTTGAAGCTCAAGAAACTCCATTACACACTTAGAGACACGCCTGACTTCATAACTGTAGAGATCACGTTTGTTCTGAAAAAGAAATAAAAAAACTAAATAAGATAGATAGATTAGATCAATTTGCAATTAAAAACAAAAAGAATAAAAATAAAACTATAAGAGATAGATAGAATACATACTTCCATGACAGCCATGACGTTGAACACCTAACAAACAAAATAAAACATGACACAGTTATAATACATAAAGAAAAAACATAAAACCAAAAATTCTAAAAAAAACAACAACCATGCAGTAAACAGAAACAATAGAATAAAAATGACTACAATGGCCTACTTGAAGGCCAAGTATCTGAACCACAAAAATTTTCTAAAACATAGACAAAAACCTTAAGATCGATTCTAATAAACAAGAAAACATCCTGAATCAAAAAATTAATAATTATGGTTTTTTTTTAAATTACATCAAGTTATTACCTTGGACAATAATAAACTATAAGAAAATGGAACTTAATAAAACAGAAAGTAAGTCTATGAAATGAATTAAATAGATCATCCATTTGATATTAAAGAAAACAAACAATGTTAGCAAAAAAGAAAGAGTATAACAACATCCTTCAAAATAACAATAAGAAACGAAACATATTCAATGAAGTATATCTATAGGTACTTAGATAGAACAAACAAAACAAAATGAATGCATCAATCCATAGTAATTGCCTAAACCTATACTAGATTCCAGCAACATAGAAATTAAAGAAAAATAGAATTAATAACTTAAATCTATTGAAACATATAACAAAATAAAGTAGAAAGTGAAAAACTAAAACAGGAAGAAAATATTCAGTAACAAATAGATACAAAGTATAGAACACATACCTTAAACTGCTAGCCGATAGCAAAAATAAAAATTGAATCCTGCAACAAATAATAATAATAATTAACAAAAGAATATGAAAAAATAATAAGAGAGATTAGAATGAAAAACATCACCCTAGCAACAGATAAAAAGAAACAAATAAAGAGATCATCAGAGGAAGAAGGCAAAACAAATGACCTAAACACAAGAAACTACAAGATGAAAAAGAAGATGACAAGAAATAAATGAAGACATAAGAAAGAAGATCACATAACAGAGATTAAAAGAACTACAAACTTTAAAAATAAAGACACATGAAATAGAAAATGAACGAAGAACAAGAGGAAAAGAAACAGAAGAGATAACGAGATAAAGATACATTCCTAAAGATCTGGGTAAGATGACCACTAAAATAAAGAACACATTACAAAAAGATTGAACATATAAATTAAAATAGAAAAGGAGAACACGAAGGAGAGAAAGACTGACCTTGAGGAACGAGAACAGAGGGCAAAGGCAACGAGAGAATGGCAAGACAAAGAATGAAATGGAGAAGGGCGAGACGAAGGGAGAGGAGATATAAACAGACAAAAGGAGCTGTTCACAATCGTGGAAATGCACGTAGAAATGGAAGTAAATGCATGCCGGTTTGCAGTAAATGCACGTGGAAATCGAAAAGACAGAACAAACGGCCATGGAAGACTCTAGATCGCCCAACCGCCCATCACTAAAGATGAAACAGACCCAAGCCCTATAATAAGTGAAGGCCCAACAAAAAAATAAAAGAGAGGCAAACAGAAAAAAGCCCAGATGAGAAAAAACTACAAGACCATCTTAAGGCCCAACTAAAAGCCCAACTGCAAAAAACCACTAAGGACAAAACTAGAAACAATTAAAAGGCATCGCACACCAACTTAACCTACAAGTAAGCTCCCCCTACTGCTAGGAACATACCAGATTGAAGAAGAAACAAGGTACAAAGTGGAAAAACTGGCCAAAGGAAACAATATGGACGACAAGGACGATCAACAACAGCAAGATCGAACAAAAGGAGAATCAGAACTACAGAGAAGAAGCCAAGTAAGCTAAATTACTTATCTGAGCATAATTTTTTGAAGAAGCACAATAAAATAATTGTACTCAATCCTCTACAACTCTTGAAGCACAAATACTATGATACTGGAAAATGACTGCCACAACTGCATTAAGATCAAGAAATTATAACACATTAGCACAGGCATCATCAACTAGAACACATAGAGTAGCAGGAAAACAAAAGGATCATCCTCAGCTTCATGAACTCTGATCTAACAACAATTGAATTTTTTGATAGGAGACAGCACCAAAGACAAGATACACAAGGAGTGAGAAGGGCAAACAGCAAATGGTGACAGCAGACACTAATCATATGATAATGAACTCAGAATACTTTTGGCAGGAAGCTACCCAGGCCTGATCATGGAACAGATAAGGAACTCCCAAGAAGACCACATCAACCCAGCAAGTTACTAGGTGAAAATTGTAGATCCAACTTCAAATTACACCACAGAAATACAAATATTACACCTAGACCAATCATGTAAAAACTACAATAGCTAGATGTAAAAGAAATTGAATGATTGTTATACTGACTACAATAACAATTGCAGGAACCACATGGAGCATATACATCTTTGTTGCTTGGGAACATGAGCACAGAGGTAAAACATGAACAAAATAAAGTAAAAGCTAATATTACCTATTAGATATAAAGATTAACCAATTCCAACATTTGCAGGAAATAGAGATGCAGAATTTATATACAACGAGGCAAGACTCGATAGGAACTAACCTAATACCATCCATCAAAGATAGTGAGGTACAAAAAACAAACCTAAAAGAAACTTTATACTACATATTGAAGAACAGAAAAAATATCATACCTTTTCAATCTTACTGTGGCATAACCATGATCAGCAGGTACATTTAGAAACCATTGGAAGCTTCAATGACTACGTGAACTGGGAATATGAAGGACAAGAACAAGATCAATAGGTAAGACATTTAAACAAAAAAATGATTGATAAAAGATAGATGAATATTACAGCAAAT